ATCAGGCTTGCAGTAGCAGTGCCCACTCTGTGAGTCGATGGGTGGGAGGTACATAGGAGTCTTTACAGGACACAGGGAGCTCAGAGGGTGTTTCAGCATGGGGGTGATGTTCTCCAGGCCTCCAGAGATTCTGGAGGAGGCAGGGCAATGACACAGAACCTGCAGACAGGTGGCTTTGAAAGTCTTACGTTCCCCAACTACAGACCATTTGTATTCATATTGTATTTACATTTATCTATTGTGGCAGCAGGCAGATGGAGATGTCTGGGTATAGCCAGGATGGCAGATTTGTAGGGCCCAGTTATAGGTGTAGTGCTGAGGTTCTTACTCTAGGGGAAAGTGTTGAGAGTGCTGGAGGCCCAGAGGTAACCAGCCTAACTGAAGGAAGCTGGCTCATTATCATCATTAGGGCCTCCATAAGATATCCCAGGCTGCTAAGTGAGTGGTTCCATCTGGGGGACAGAGGAGGTCTCTGCAGGAGTCAGGAGGGCTCCACCCTGGAACCATTCTGGGAGTCTGGCAGACTGGGGAGCAGTTCACCCGTATGGTAAAAAGCAGCCTGTGTGGCAAAAGACAAGCCTGTGTGGCATGGCCTTTGAATACAGCCTGTGTGGCCAGAAGTTTTGAGGTAAAGGCAGTGGCGTCACAAGGGGTTGCGGCCTGCACACGGTTGTGACCATTGGAGGGGTGACACCAAAATGACTGTCAGTCATTTTGGTGTCACCCCCCTCTAAAAAGTCGGGCGCTCAGTCATGGACCGAACGCCCGACAGTATCAGTAGAGAGGAGGGGACCCGGCGGCATACCTCATCCCGCCGGGTGGCTGTCCCCTCTTCTCTCTCTGCCGGAGTCCATCACCAAGATGCCTGCTGGCAGGTATCAGAAGATCGCCGCACGTGCGCGATGACATCATCGCACACGCACGGTGGCGTCTCGGCGGGGTGACACCCGGTTACCGCTCCGGGTGTCACCCAGACCCGGGACACCCCCTGGGTAAAGGAACCACCTGAAATTGGTGAGACTGAAAAATGTTTTGTTTGATGACATAAAATGGTACTTTATGTCTGAAAACCCCTGCGAGGGAACACCTGTGTGGACTTTTCTTTTGGAGTCGTGAGTTAATTAAAGTGGGCAGAGAAGACCTTAAAAAGTGAAAAGCGAGTGGCGGTGTCCTTAATGTGCTACCGCTTGGAGCGAATCCTCACACTATTTATATTGTATTTGGTCTGGAGACGACCTATTAATAAAAAGTCTTTGGTTAATGGAGCATCTGAAAAATACATTACAGAGGACAGGAAGGAAATTGTACGCTGGAGCAGAATTTTTAAGTAGCATCAGATTGTCCACCCCCGGTCTCCGGAGAACAATGTAACCAACAAATCCTTTATACACACACCGCGGAGCACAGATAATTCCACACACCATCAGTGCAAGTGCTCAGCAGATTATGAAGATGTGACAAGCGCTGAGCTTCACAGAATAAAACTTCCTTAAAGGAGAATTACGGGGTCAGTGTTTTTCCCCATAGTTCTCCTTAGGGTAACGGGAGGACACAAACTAGCGTCCTCCCGTCACCCTAAGCTCAGTATACCGCGAGCTGTAGCTGTATACTGAGACGCCGCAGCGGATCCCGACATGGACGTCGGGATCTGCCCAGCTGTGTGAGTGACAACTGGCTCTGCCTATCTAGAGGCAGAGCCAGCTGTACCCGCCCCCTCCCCCGTCCGTTCCTCCAGTCAGCGCTGGCGGATCGGAGCGGGGAGGGGGGAATCCAGCCCCTCCCCTGTCACGGCAGAGAGCCGTGACAGGATCGAGAAGTGAGCGAACGCCGGTATGTGTTCGCTCACCTCCCGATCTACTGAGCCGACCTGTGAGTCTCATTGTTACAGGTCGGCTAGAACTATGAGGTGAGTGGAAATCACTCACCTCATAGTTCTCCTTTAAAGGGAATATCCAACTAAGAGAAAAAGAGTCACTTCACTAATAGAAAGGATGGGCCTCTGGGACAGATGCCTTGTAGGACCCTCCCAAACATAGACCTTTACATGTTAAGTCATTCACTTAGGAATTTGCCAAAGTAGCTACAAGGGATATTATTTCTGCCACCTGGGAACACCTTATCAGCGTGACCGACCTCCAGACTTCCAAAATAGCTCACTGTAGAACAAAAGAGACTTAAGCTGATTGGCTTGCAAGCACCGTTTGGCTGAAGATGCTCCAAACCTCTGATCGGGGGGATGCATGGCAGATGTGCGCGGACGCAGCAAATTTTGGCTGGTTCATCAGGAGCTGGCCGAAATTCACATAGTGTATGGCCAGCTTAACCGTCTCTGTGCTCCACAACAAGACGCATCAAAGATCCAGAGAAGAACAATTGTTTCCAATAACATCTTTCGGCAAAGACACTCTAACAAGCCAACCTGTAATTAATTGCACAGAGAACCGAACATTAGTATCTAAGCACTTAGCAATGTCACCTCATTATTAGTTACGCATATCGTAATTATTTGTCGTTATCAAATTTAACCCCGGGAGCTCGTTCACACCATAGGCGTTGGGCTGCTTTGGTCAACACAGTTCAATCCATTCACAAGGCAAAAAGCCTATTGTCGCAGTTTCCACAATCGTAGGACCAAGGGCCGGTGCGAGGATTCTTGCCTTGACAGGCAAAGTTGCATTTTTGCGCCCCTCCTCTCCCAACCCCCTCCCCGACCCCCTGTAGCGCTGAGCCTGCTCCCTATCAGCATGTTTTTTTTTCTTCACTTACCTTCGGTGCGGGAGAGCAGCGGCGAGTCAGCGCCGCTCCGGTGGGAGGAGCTCCAGGTGGGGTCCTAATTTAGCTGGCCGGCGACTGCCAGAGGTGCCGCGCGTATCAGGATCCTCTGGCAGTCTCTGGCCAGCTAAATTAGGACCAAACCTGGAGCTCCTCCCACCGGACCAGCGCTGACTCGCCGTTGCTCTCCCGCACCGAAGGTAAGTGGAAATAAAAACATAGCGCAAGCATCGGGGCATTTTGACAAGTACAAGTACTTGTCAAAATGCCTTGTTTTTTCCACCCTCACCCTGCAGCGCCCTCAGGCGGCCGCTTGCCTTGCCTTGCGGTAGTGCCGGGCCTGGTAGGACCGTCTCCAACATAAACATTTCACATATTAACTGCCTCCCAGCCGGCTGTTGTACTGAAACGGCCGGACGGGATCTTCCTGGATGTAACAGGGCGTCAAAAGACGTCCTGTTGCCCCCACCCACGTGCGAGCGGGAGACTGCCCAAATTTAAAAACAGGCAGCGATGCCTGTTTACATACAAGGGATCTGCCAGCTATAGAGCCGGTGGATCGCTTGTATGAGGTGCCGGTCGGTGTGCCCCCCCTCCGCTGGTCCCGAGCTTTGTTATGCCCAATGCGAGCCCAGGACCAGCACGGTGGCTCTGTGACAGGGGATCAAAGGGAGATCGGTACACGATCTCCCTCCGGTCCCCTCTCCGGTGTCAGAATGCGGAAGTCATGTATATTACATGACTTCCGCATTCTCGTGTCAGTCTCCAGCTTCAGATGCTGGAGAGAAGCTGATGAAGCAGATCTGTGCTTTATCGGCTTCTTTAGGGGTCCCTAGGTGGCATTAGGGGTCTTGGAGGACCTGTCACATCTTCTGCTATCACATAGGGGGGTTTCTTAGCCCCCTATGTGATAACAATAAAGTTAAGTGGAAAAAAAAATAGGAAAAAAAAATAAAATTTGCAAAATATAAAAAAATTAAAGTTATTGATATTATTGAAAAAAAAACCACAAACATTTTTTAAAGTCCCCCCCCATACATACACACGTCCAAACATGCTTCGGGGGCTCATACGTGCGAAAATGACGATTGTGCCCATTACGCCGCACATGTTACATATCGCTGCGAACGTCGCAGTGAGAGCAATAATTCTAGGGTCATCAATCACTGATAACACTAATAAGGCCTACGGTTGCTCAATATCGCACATATAAAATCGCGCGGAAAATCGCCCGATTTTCATGTCGCTCAGTGTGAATGGGGCCTAAACTGATGAGCGGTAAAAGCTTTTAAAGCATCGCCTATGGTAAATTTTGTGCATGGTAGTTTTTAGCGATTTCGCGGGCGTGCGCAATGGTGATTAAATACCAGCAAAAGAAAGCTCTATCTGTCCCCAAAAAATGGTATAAAATTCATTTCAGCACAGCGTTGCATGACGGAATAAATGTCAGTCAAAGTACCGCAGCGCTGAATACTGAAAAATGGCCTGGACAGGAAGGGGGTGTAAACACCGCGGTCAGCAAGTGGTTAAATCATTCCCTTTAGAATGGAATCATTCATTAGGAACATTAAAGGAGAACTATGAAGTGAGTGCTTTTCACTCACCTCATAGTTCTAGCCGACCTGTGACAATGAGACTGTCACAGGTCGGCTCAGTAGATCGGGAGGTGAGAGAACACATACCGGGTTCGCTCACCTCTCCATCCTGTCACGGCTCTCTGCCGTGACAGGGGGAGGGCTGGATTCCACTCTCCCCGCTCCGATCTGCCAGCGCTGACTGGCGTAAAGGACGGGGGAGGGGGCGGGTACAGCTGGCTCTGCCTTTAGATAGGCAGAGCCAGCTGTCACTCACGCAGCTGGGCGGATCCCGTCATCTACGTCGGGATCCGCTCCGGCTGCGGCGTCTCAGAATACCGCGAGCTGTAGCTCCCTATATACTGAGCTTAGGGTAACGGGAGGACGCTAGTTTGTGTCCTCCCGTTACCGTTACCCTAAGGAGAACTATGGGGAAAAACACTGACCCCATAGTTCTCCTTTAATTTCTGCTGCCTCAGAACACCATCTCAGCGTGACCGACCTTCAGACTCCCCACCTTGTTGTAGGACAAGGAGATGAACTCTATGCTTCACAACAAGACCCTCCAAGCTTATAGAGAACAATCATTTGTTCCAGTAACATTTTAGGATTCTAGTTACATAATATCTAATTCTGAGTCTCTTTTCCCTTCAGTGTCATGTCTGCAGAGGACGCGCTCTCACGCGGAAGAACGCCTGTTCAAGAGCCTGTTCAATGGGTACAATAGATGGTCCAGGCCTGTGCCGAATACCTCAGACGTCGTCATTGTAAAGTTTGGATTGTCCATTGCCCAGCTCATAGATGTGGTGAGTCTAATACCCAGTGATCCTCTAAACGGTGCTAGTGGTCCAAATGTATGGAAAATGTATTTCATGTATTACAGCAAACAAATCAACACTGACATTTTTACTAAGCGATTATGTAGTTCTGCCACTGACTCCAAGTTGTAGAGGGACTACAAATCGCGACAATACATTATACAGCAATGCAGAATAATACCATCAGCTATAGAGGACTACAAATCCCAGCAATACATTATACAGCAATGCAGAATAATACCAAGTGCTATAGAGGACAACAAATCCCAGCATTACATTATGCAGCAATGCAGAATACCACCAGCTATAGAGGACTACAAATCCCAGCAATACATTATACAGCAATGCAGAATAATACCAAGTGCTATAGAGGACTACAAAGCCCAGCATTACATTATGCAGCAATGCAGCAGCAATGCAGAATACCACCAGCTATAGAGGACTACAAATCCCAGCAATACATTATACAGCAATGCAGAATAATACCAAGTGCTATAGAGGACTACAAATCCCAGCATTACATTATGCAGCAATGCAGAATACCACCAGCTATAGAGGACTACAAATCCCAGCAATAAATTACACAGCAATGCAGGATAGCACCAGTTATAGATGACTGCTGAGCAATATAAAGGTGCCCATACACTGCACGATTCTCGTACGAGAATCGCGGGAATCCCGCGATCGTACGAGAATCGTGCAGTGTATGGAAGGCGTGCGACCGTTTCTACTGTACGGTCAAACGTCTTCCGTCGAACCAGCAGGCTAGAAAACCCGCCGGGAATCGTACGATTCTCGGCGAGTTAGTGGCCTGCTGGTTCGAGAACTGCCGAAAAAAGTCTTGCGAGGGTTGTAAAGTGTATGGGCACTTTCAGGAATAGTAACTTGTATTGTCATATACATTAAATGATTGCTCAGTGCCATATACAATCACCAGCATGCAGGGACGATTTAAGGCTCTAGAAGTCACTACCTCAAAGGCCACACACAGTTAGGCATCAGAAGTTCCTCCCCTGAGGTAAAAAGATACTTTTTTTTCAGAATCAGATGCCAAGGCCGCCTGGAGGCTTCAGAGGTTCTGACACGTGCGCCGTCCATGCCGTCTCTCCGCCTCCTTCTCTTCAGCTCAGCTCCCACTGGCTCTGACATCAGAGCCAAAGATCGCTCCACCACTGCACTGTGGCTGGGGGGCCAGGGTGACAGGAGACAGGCACAGTTCCTTGCAAATGAAAATCTGTGCGCGGCCACAAGGAACTGAGGAAAGTTGTGGGCCCCCAGATGTGACAGTGGGCTCTGGGCGGATGCCCACTTTGCCCATTGGATAAAGCGGCCCTGGCGCTTCCCAGATGTCTGTAAAAGTTTGCAATTGAAGTTTGGTAAGGAAGTCACCAACATCTGCTCACTGTGAAGGTTCTGAAAGTTTATTTAGAAGAGTTACAAAGTAAAATGAATGATTTGATATAAAAGATTAACATGTACGGAGATAAGACCGGGCCGGTGTACCGAGGATCTGACCTCTTCAAATGGGAAGCTTTTAATCTCCCATCCTGGACAGTTGAGAAGCTGGACCTCCCAAATATAAACATTCTACATATTAAATCATTGACCTGAGACTCAAATCACGCAGTTCATCATTAATTACAAGAAACATTCATTTCTGTTATCTCAGAACACTTCATCAACGTGACCGACCTCCAGACTCCCAAACACCTCATTGCAGAACCTGGAGATTAACTGTCCCTGTGCTCCACAACAAGACCCTCCGAGGATCCGGAGAAGAACAATTTGTTCCAATATTTTTAGTGTTACTCATTATGCTGCCGAAGGCGGCCGAGTGAATAACCGAGCTGGAGTGAACAGTGCTGAACGACGTTCGGCTATTCACTCCAGCTCAGTACGGCTGATTTCAGCCGTACATCGGCTGCACTTCGGTCAGCCCAACATGCTCTGCAGAAGGACTTCGACTCAGCCGATCCAACATCTGGATCGGCTGAGCCCGAAGCTCCGGCAGCTCACTCGCTGCTGTTCGCCCCTATTCACACAGGGGCCGAACGGAAGTAAGTGAATAGCTAAATGCCACCGAGCGCCATTCGGCTCGACTATTCAAGTCGGTATCTCCATGGTACCAAGCAGAATAGAAAATAGTGAAAATAGTAGATTAAAAAAAGGTTTTTTAATGTAAACAAATGGTCAAATTAAAAAATAAAGATTAAAAAAAATTGAGAGGTAGCTCTGCCCAACTGTTTCCTATTGGCCGGCACCTGCTAGAGTCTTCTTGCAGGTCCCAGCCAATGATCAACAACTGTGTGGAGCCGGCTGTGACGTCACGGCTGGCTCCGCCCAGTTGTTATTGCTTAATGACAGATCAGCGCCCCCACGTCATTTGGGGACGCTGATCTGTCATTACAACTGGGCGGAGCCAGCCGTGAGATCAGCCCAGCTGTCATTTACGGGGCGGATGGCCGGCCTTCGGCAGGTCGTTCGCCCCGTTTCGGCTCAGTCAAGCCGAAGCATATGCCTTCGGCTCGGCTCAGCCGCTTAGCCGCCTTCGGCTTCTGTTACGGGCTATAGCGAATAGCCCGCACAGCAGCCCTTCGGTTCGACTGACACGAAGGGCTCAGGCGGCTGAAGAGAGCGGAAGGATCAGCCGAAGCTACGGCTGGATCCTTCGGCTCCTTTCGTGAATAACCCCCTATATTTCCGCAAAGACATTGTAGCAAGCGAACCTGCTCTTATATTAGAACCGAACATTAGCATATAGTTAGCAATGTCATCTCCTCATTAATAAAGCAGATATTCATTATTTTTCTTTCCCCAAGAGCTCGTTCACACCATATGCTAGGCCGGGCTGCTTTGGTCAACACATGGACAGGGCAAGATGCCGGGTTTTGTATTGTTGCAGCACAACAAGCCGGTACAACTGTGCAAGACTGAAGGGAAGTCTGGATCTCAGTTTGCACTGATGTCCTCATAGAAGCACACTCTTCGTATTTCATAGTCGCCATGACAGATCCTTACAATGAATGTATCGGTGAGGTTCAGTCCGGTATATACAATCGCCCAGCAATATGGATTAATCCTCTAATCCCGCAGATAATAAGGATTAGGTTTACTTATTTATTTCGTGTTATCATGGAGTACGGAAGGAGAGGTGACGTGGAATGGATTCATGGCCATTGTGCGTTCACCACCGGCGTGATTCCATAGTAACGGAATGTGAATAGGTAGAAGGCATTCAGGATCCTCCGCGTCACGCCGTATCCTCATCTGGCAGCACTGTCAGTGGAAATGGCTTTTAGTCTTTTATCATCCAAAATATGGCTTTCCCGTGCCGTGCCGTGTCCCGGATTTCAGGGAAATTGTTTGCTTCTTAACCCCTTCGTGACTGACGACGTACAGTGTACGTCGCCAGCATCGGGGCTGTTTAAACAGACTCCCGGCGACTTTTGCCGCCGGGACTCTGTTTAAACTTGTAGAGCCGACTGAGAGGTTTCATTTCTTTTCCTTTTATTGTAGAAACGTAGAAGAGCGACAGCAGAAAAAGACCAAGTGGTCCATTGATATGACCCTATTTTTATTGTTTTTTGGGGGTTTTTGACCCTTTTGGTTGGTTTTTAATCTTTCAGTTTAAATCTAAGTTTATTCATAGTTCTAAGCCGACCTGTGACAATGAGACTGTCACAGGTTGGCTCAGTAGATCGGGAGGTGAGCGAACACATACCGGGTTCGCTCACCTCTCGATCCTGTCACGGCTCTCTGCCGTGACAGGGGGAGGGGCTGGATTCCCCTCTCCCCGCTCCGATCTGCCAGCGCTGACTGGCGGAACGGACGGGGGAGGGGGCGGGTACAGCTGGCTCTGCCTCTAGATAGGCAGAGCCAGCTGTCACTCACGCAGCTGGGCGGATCCCGTCATCTACGTCGGGATCCGCTCCAGGTGCGGCGTCTCAGTATACCGCGAGCTGTAGCTCGCGGTATACTGAGCTTAGGGTAACGGGAGGACGCTAGTTTGTGTCCTCCCGTTACCCTAAGGAGAACTATGGGGAAAAACACTGACCCCATAGTTCTCCTTTAAGGTAAAAAAAAACCGGAAAAAACCCCCAGAGACCCATAAAAAAAAGTAACAGAAGAATATAAAAAAAAAGGCGGCAGACTCAATGGACCACCTGCTCTTTTGACTAAGGATAGATCTAAGGCTGTCCAAAAAAGATTAAAAAAAATAAAAACAACAAAAACATCATGAAAGGGGCAAACTCAATGGGCCATTTGCTCTTTTTATGATGTACTCGGTTTTGTTTTTTAATTAAACCTTTTTGTTTGTTTTTAAACATTTCTGTCTAAGTATAGGGGTCTATTGACTGAAGAGCCTAAGGATCCAGCCGTAGCTTCGGCTGATCCTTCGGTTCGCTTTGGCCGCCTTTGCCCTTCAGCTCAGTTGAACCGAAGGGCTGCTGTACGGGCTATTCGCAATAGCCCGTACAGCAGCCGAAGGCGGCAGAGCGGTTCAGCCGAGCCAAAGGCATATGCTTCAGTTCAACTAAACCGAAGTGACAGCCGAAGCAGGGAGAACGGCCTGCCAAAGGGCCGGTCGTTCTTCCCGCAAATGACAACTAGGACAATGACAACAACGGCTCGCTCCACCCAATTGTAATGACAGATCAGCATCCCTAAATGATCTGGGGAGGCTGATCTGTCATTAAACAATAACAACTGGGCGGAGCCGGCCGTGACATCACGGCTGGCTCCGCCCAGTTGTTATTCATTGGCCGTGACCTGCTAGAAGACTCTAGCATGTGCCGGCCAATAGGAAACAGTTGGTCGGAGCTAGCTGTCACTGCTATCTCCCCCCAATTGTTTTTTTAAATTTTTATTTTCTTTAAAATATTTTTTTTGTTTAATTTTCCTATTTTTTTTAAATCATTTTGCCACTTTTTTTCCACTTGTTTTCTATTCTGCTCGGGTACCTCGGAGGTACCGAGCAGAACAGCCGA